CCCCCCGCGCCCCTGCTGACCCAGCCTTGCCCCTCTCGCACCTCCTCCCTGCAGCAAACCATGTGGAAGAGCGCCACCTCCAACGTCCCTCCCCCCCGCGTCAACACCATCGCCAACACCCATGACGATGATGACGACTGGGATACCGACCCCACCTTTGTGGTGCGCCGCATGCCCTTCGCGCCTCGCCCTGTGCTCCTGCCCCCGCCCTGACGCCTTACTGCTCGCCCATCCTCAGAACGACGTCTCCGAGCGCGAGCAGCGCTTCGGGTCCAAGACCGTGGCCAACTCCGGCCGCACCGAGGAGGTGATCGACATCCATGCCCTCCGCTCGACCACCATCCACACTCACGAGAGCAAGGTCCGCTCCGAGTATGAGGCCCGGTGCGTGGACAAGCCCCCGTCCCCCCTCCCCGGTGGCGCCCCCCTCCCCCCCCCCTCCTTCTCTCCCTGCCTCTCCCTTCACCTTCTCGCCCTTCCCCCGTGTGGCCTCCTTCGGCAACTGACCTGCTGGGGCGACGACAACAACAAATGCTCGGCCCATGACACGGCACCCGCAGCGGCAAGTTCTCCTTCGGCTATGGCGGCGCGCATGGCGTGCACAACAGCGACCAGTCGGTCGGCACCTCGGCCTCCCCGGCCGCCCATGAGTCCGTGCCGAAGTACGTTCCCCCGACCAAGACCGAGGTCTCGGCCCCGGCCTCCAGCCTGCGCAGCAAGTTCGAGTCCCTGTCGATGGCCAACGAGAATGCCGCCCGCCAGGAGGAGGAGGAGGCTCGTCGTCGTCGCGAGGAGGCCGATCGCCGGGAGCAGGAGCGCCTTGCCCGCCAGGAGCAGGAGCGCCTCGCCCGCGAGGAGGCCGACCAGCAGCGCCAGGAGGCCGCGCGCCAGGCCGAGCAGGAGCGCCTGGCCCGTGAGCAGGAGGCCGACCGCGAGGCGGCCGCCGCTCGCCAGGCTGAGCAGGCCCACCAGACTGCCGAGGCCGATGCCGAGCGCGCCGAGCAGGAGCGCTACGCCCGCGAGCAGGCCGAGTACCAGGCCGAGCAGGAGCGCTACGCCCGCGAGCAGGCCGAGTACGAGGCTCAGCAGGCTGCGTATGAGGCCCAGCAGGCCGAGTATGAGGCCCAGCAGGCTGCCGCCGCCGCCGAGGCCGAGGCCGCCGCTGCCGCCGCCGAGGCCGAGGCCGCCGCCGCCGCCGCCGCTGCCGAGGCTGAGGCCGCCGCCGCCGCTGCTGCCGCCGCCGCCGAGGCCGCTACTCCCGCCGCCGACGGCGCTGCCGCCGATGAGGGGACCACCGCCATCGCCCTGTACGACTACGCCGCTGCCGATTCTGACGAGCTGACCCTCTACGAGGGTGCGCGCCTGACTCAGATCGAGGTTGTCGATGAGAACTGGTGGCGTGGCTACTGCGATGGCAACTACGGCATGTTCCCCTCGAACTATGTTGAGCTCCAGTAAAATGGCCACCGCACCCTCCCCTCCTTTCCCCGGCATGCGGGTGCGCGTGTCTGCCTTTTCGGTCGGAAGGACGGACGGCCCGTGCGGCAAGCGCCGCTCTCGTCCCTCCTTCCCCCCTTTGTCTGTCTCTCTGCCTTTCCCCCCCACCCCCCTGTCCGCACGGCAAACATGCCGAGAGGGGAGAGGTGCTGCGTGGGTTTCTCTCACTCCTCGCCGCGCACAGCCCTCTGCGCGGCCGCGCCCTCCCCTCCCAACATGTGCATGCGCATGCAATACATACGAATAGTTACGCCCCTGGTTGCATGCGTGCTTTGGGTGCACATGCACATCCAGGCCGACCCGGCGGCGGGGGGTGTGGGGGAGGGAGCACCGGGGGGGGGGGGGGGGGGTCCGGGACGTGCCGCAGCTGTTCGGCGGCATACTGCGCGGTGCCCCAGCGATATGGGGGGCAGGGGGCGAGGTGGGGCGGGATGCGGTCACCACCCCCGGGGGGGGGGGCAAATGCCGACGGACGCCCCCCTCCCCCATGCGCGCCACCATGGGGCTCTCTGATCGGGCCCGGGGCCAGAGAGCCGCGCTGACGACGCCGCCCACACACACACGTACGCACGCACGCACGCACGCACGCACGCACGCACGAGGAAGGGGGGCACCCGGATACGTGTGTGAACAGGGGGAGGGGCGGGCGGGGGACGCTGCTGGTGATTGGCAGTCGGCAGGGCCCATCCGCGGGCCGGAAGCGGCCAGCGGGGGATCCCCGCCCGCGACCGTGCCGTCAGACAGATCCGAGCACATGGGTGCAGGCGCCGCCGGACGCCCCTTCAAGAGCAGGCATCCCGTGCGCCGGGCTCATGCCTCCTAGCGAATAGCCCCCCCTTCTCCCCCTTGCCTCCTCCCTCCTTCGCCGCCTTTGCTTGCCGGCCCCACCCCACACGCGCACGCGATCTCGCCCAAAGGCAGCATACGGCACGGATTCGCTGCACCTGCCCTGGCCTTTTTCCTGGCCCCTCCCCCCGCTCTCCGGTCCTCCTCCCTTGCGTATGTCCCTGGTCCGCGCAGCTGCCCGACTCGGCGGAGGCGGCCTGCGACCGCCTGCGGTTCCCCTTGGCACATTTGCACTTGCCGGGCGCCGGGGGTGCCCAGCCCCTGCCTCGGCTCTCCGAGCCTTCGCCACCGGAGCGATGCCACGCGAGAGCGAGCCTACGCCTCGGCCACGAGTGCCGCCCGGCCTGGGCTTTGGCGACCCGACCGTCGCGCCGCAGCCGGCCAACGTCCACATGACGCCGCTCACTCGGCCGGACACTCGCCCGATGGCCGGCACCCAGTCACAGACGTCCGATCCAGTCCGCCGGAACGCCGTCGGCATTCAGATGCTCTCGCGGAGTCTGCACGATCAACTTTTTTTGCGCAAGAAAGGCCGGGACATTTTGGCCCAAGCCCCCGCTGGCCGGCCCCAGTGGGTTGGCTACTCCGACGGCGGTATGGCCCTCCTGCCCTTTGACAGCGGCTCCCGCGCCTCTGCCCTCCCCCTCTCCGGCAACTAACCTCTGGGTGCCATCGCCGGCTGCTGTGCTGCCCGCCCCCCTCTCTGCCTCCCATCCTGCTTTTCGGCGCGGCGCGGCGCGGCGCGATGCGATGCGATGCGACACAATGCAAAGGCGCCGCCTCAGCCGAAATGTCCACCGATGGGTTCCGCCTGTCGGCCGAAAACTTCCGCACCATCAAGGAAGTGCTGACAGCGCACCGGCTGTGGAACCCGCCGACCACCGAGCCCGGGTCCACTCCTCCTGGCGACCCGACGGTGGACTTCCACCTGCCACCCTTGTACGGCTCCACCGTGGCCGAGCATCTGCAAGAGGTCCGTGCCCTCGGTCCATTCGCTTGCTTTTCGCGGGGG